GCTAGCTTCTCTGGCTAGCTAGTCTTGGATTTTGGCTCCCACCGCTAAAGGAAAGTACTTCTCTTCCAAAGCCCAGGTCTGCCAAGCCTTCCTCTGTGGAGCTACTCTGACAGTCATCCTGGCTAAGACTAGTGACGCTTCCTCAGAACAGCGTGGCAGGCTCCTCCTTTGTCGCATGCCTCCCAGGTGCTTTTTGTGCATAGTCTGTGTTGTCGTTGTTTGTGCGTGTTCTCTCCCTTACTAGGATGTAAGGTCCTATCAGCAGGGCCTGGGAGAGCCTTATCAAAGACGGGGGACAGGGGTGGAAATTGGCTCTTTCCCTCTGGGAGCCGACTATGACATGCTGAAGGCTCAGATGACTGCTAGCATTCTTTAGCAATAAAATATTTTTAATTAAGATATGTTCATTTTTAGATATGCTATTTTGCACTTAATAGACTACAGCATAGTATAAACATAACTTTTATGTGTGCTGGGAAACCAAAAGATGCATATGACTCACTTTATTGTGATATTTGCTCTGTTGCAGTTGTCTGGAAATGAGCCCATAGTATGAGCCCTGAGGTGTGCCTGTATTCATCTAGCGTGGACAGGTGTCTGCTGTGTCTACCATGTGTTGGATATTGAATCGGATTCTTGGGGAGGAGTGAGATGATTAAGAGTTAGACAAAGTCTTTTCCTTCCAGAAACCACAATATAATAGTGGAAGCTGTCACCCCTTCTGACCCTGAACGTTAACTAAGAGCTGCAGCTTGGAGCTAGGACATGTCTGTTCACTAAAGAGAGATGCAATGCTGTGACTGGTCACCTGGAAAAAAGTGGCAAATTTCTATTTTATTCCACTTGACTTTGGAAGTTCAGATATTTACGAAGGTATGATGGCTTTATCTAAAATTCTCTAAAGATTGGTAGGAACAAGCACCCAAGGAGTTCCTGTCCCTGCCCATGGAGTGACTGGGGAGAGAGAGCAGGACATTCAAAGTGTGAGGAAGAGGAAGTGGCATGTTACATGTTATAGTGGGTACAAACACAGAGCTCTGAGCCAGTCACCTAGGTCTGAATCTCAGCTTGGCCATTTACATGCTGTGTGACCTTAGATGGTTGTTTAACCTCTCGAGTCTCAGTTTCATCATTTGTGAAATGGGGATATCAATACAGTTATGGTGAGTATTAAAAGAGTTAGTGTAGGTAAAGCACTCAGCACATGCCTGGCACATATCCAGTTCTCAGTGGCCTGACTTGTTGCCATTATTGTCATCATGCTGTCGTCTGGAATTAAAGTGGGTCAAGAATTGGGGCCAGACAGTTCCATCAGTACCAGTGAGTTCAGTTCCTTCACCAGAGAGACGCAAGCCAACCTCTCAGCCACTGTGACAACACTTCCTAGAGAACGCTGATTATTAACCTGGGAACAAATAAATTTCCAGACTCCTTCGGTCCCAAGACAAAGAGCCTCCCAGACATTTGCACGCTGTATTCACAACTGGACAGGGAGTGTGGCGACACTTGTCCTCGATGCTCTCTCTTGATTCAGAGCATCACCAGACACCCACTTACCCCAAGGAGACTTCCACACTGATACTCTTCCTTTTCCATATCCAGATGTCACCAGCGTAGGACTAGTCTTCTTCTGCTTTGGCGTTAGTTCTGACTGTCGTCTTTCCGTCTTATCCCCTGCATCAGCCTTCTGATGGCTTTTAGTCCCTGATCCACAAACCATTCCATGCTAATCCCCAAATCCCTATACAACCCAGAACTTATTATGTCATCTCTCTGCTTGCTGATGTCTGGTGAGGAAATATAGATGAAAACAAAAATGACACAGTGTTTCCCCACCACAGGATTATCATTAAAATTAAAGTTTGGCAATACCACGTATTTTTCCAGCATCTGGAGAAGAAGATTTTCACTCACAGCTGGTGAGAGTGTCAATTGGTGTGAAGACCTCTAGGCAGTATGTACTGGAACTTAAATTGCACGTAACTTTTGACCCAGCAACTACAGGTTTCTGAGTCTACACAGAAGAACCTTCCTGGGAGAATGAAGTAGGCATACCAAGGACATTTATTGATCATTGTTTGAAATAGAGAAAAGACTCAAAAACCTAAATGCCCACCAATGTGGAGATGGCTAAATGGTCGTATATCCATGTTCTGAAATAGTATGCAGTATGAAAAGTATGAGGTATGAAGGATCTTTTAAAAGTTCATGGAAAATACATGTTATGAGAAAACTATGCATGGTGTTCAAATTTTTTGTGCCAAATAAACTAAAAAAAATTGTTATAATATGTCTGAACAGGATCTAGTTTGAGACACTAAGAAGGAAGGATAAGACACCAGTTTCAAAAGAGCCCCTGTCAGAGCCACATTAATTCTGCTAAAGTCAAAGCAAGAATAAATATCAAATTTATGATAAAGGTTGGTTTCGTCAATGGTGAAATCATTGATGCTCTATGTAACATTTATGGGAACAATATCCCAAAGATATCAGCAGTTCATACCAATGGATAACTTGTTTTAATAAGGGATGAAACAATGTTGAAGATGAAGTCTACAGCAGCAGACCATCCACATCAATTTGTGAAGAAAAAAACTAATCTTGTTCATTCCTTAATTGAAGACTGATGATTACCGGTACAAATAATAGCCAACACCATAGACATCTAAAGTGGTTCTGCTTGAACAAATTTGACTGAAAAATTAAAGTTGAGCAAACTTTTCACTCAATGGATACCAAAATCATCATGTCCAGATCAGCGGCAGACAAAAGCAGAGCTTTCGGTGGAAATTTTAAACAAGTGGGATCAAGATCCTGAAGCATTTCTTTAAGGAATTATAATAGGAGATGAAACAAGGCTTTACCAGTACAATCCTGAAGACAAAGCACAATCAAATCGGTGGCTACCAAAAGGTGGCAGTTGTTACAGTGGTCCAGTCAAAGCAAAACAAACCAGTCAAGAGTAAACAAAGGTCATGGAAATGGTTTTTGGGGGTACTCAAGGCATTTCCTTGTTGACTTTCTGGAAAGCCAAATAATGATAATATCTGCTTATTATGGGAGTGTTTTCAAAAAGTTAGCCAAAGTTTTAGCAGAAAAATTCCCAGGAGAGCATCCCTGAAAAGTCCTCCTTTACCATGACAATGCTCCTCTCATCAAACAAGAGCAATTTTGTGAGAGTTTCGATGGGAAATCATTAGGCATCCACCTTACACTCCTGATTTGGCTCCTTCTGACTTCTTTTTGTTTCCCAGTGTTAAATAATCTTTAAAGAGCACTCATTTTTCTTCAGCTAATAATCTTAAATTCTTCAGCTAATAATCTTAAAAAGACTGCATTGATATGGTTAAATTCCCAGGACCCTCAGTTCTCTAGGGATGGACTCAATTGCTTTTACAAAAGTATGTTGAACTTGATGGAGCTTATGTTGAGAAATAAAATTTATATTTTGTATTTTATGTTTTAATGACATGTTTCCACAAACTTTTTGACATCCCCTTATATGTCTAGGCATACTGACATGGAAAGATGTGACATATGATACATTGTGGGCTGAAGTTTTGCCCTCCCAATCCCCAAATTCATATGCTGGAGCCCTAACCCCCATACCTTAGAATGTGACCATATTTGTGACGAGGTCTTTAAAGAGGTAATTAAGGTAAAATGAGGGTCATGGTCCTATCAGTGGACCTTAATTCAATATGACTGGTGTCCTTATAAGAAGGGAAGATTAGGACACAGACAGACACACAGAGGGAAAACCCTGTGGGAACATGGAGAAGATGGACATCTGCAAGCCAAGGAGAAAGGCCTCAGGAGAAACCAAATATGCCCACTCCTTGGTCTTGGACTCCCAGCCTCCAGAACTGTGAGAAAATAAACTTTCTGTAGTTAAAGCCACCCAGTCTGTGGTACTTTATCACAGCAGCCCTGGCAAACTATCGCACAATATTAGATGTTTTATATGTAGGGAAAACAGAATGGAAGGTTCCACCCTGTCCTGATAAGAGTGATTACCACTGGAGAGGGACTGGGTTAGGGATGGTAACCATCTTTGATGGCAGTCAAAGAGGATTTTAGCCTTAAAAATAAGGTTTAGAAACCTTAAAATCTGTACCCCCATAATATGCCGAAAAAAAAAAAGAACCAGATTGCTCTGGTTCAGGTTATAACTTAAAAAAAAAAAAAAAGGTTTAATTTTTATAATGAGAAAATACTCATGTATTATTTGTACATCAATTTTTAAAAAATCAACCCATCTTCCATGGCATTCCATTGAATGCAATACCCAGTGGCCTTCAACACCTGGCTCAGCCTGTCTTTGGAGCTTTATTCGCTGCCGACTGCCACCCCCATGCCCCGGCCCACCTGCTTGCCACACCAGACCACCCCATCAGTCTAATGCACCCATGACTTGGTCTCTGGCCTCTGCTTGGAATGCTGTTTCCCTTTCCTAAGTCTGGGCTGTTGATCTTTCTCCTTCAGAGCTCAGACCAAATGCCACCTGCTATTTTATAACCACATTGCCAACAGTCTCACTTGGAAGGTTTCCCGAGGCACATTTCTCTACTTTTTTGATGTCTGATTCATATTTGTGCCCTTGGTCCCTAATCGGTGCTGCAGGCTTGTAAATGCTCAATAAATGGTTCCAAAAGAATGAATGATAGGAACATTTTCTAGCAGGTTGCTTTTCCATCTAGTGTATCTCAAAGGTCCAACATTCTATTATGTATGTATTAACAAACTCCCTAGAGACCATGGCCATAATCACGACATGAGCTAGGGCTAACTGTCCCTTTAACACAATGGGGCAACTATATTTCTGGACCAGCCAAGCCCCATTTGCTTTCAATTCTAGTGAAATCAGCTGAGAATGGATTGTAATTTATTTTATTCAAGTTCTGTGCCCATAAATGTCTTCAAGTCCTTAACTCACAATAGGCCCAAATCAAAAATGGCATGGACCTCGGACTGGGAGGCTCTGATAACCCAGGCCTTACCTTTTCATCGGCTTGGGTGAGCATTCTCTCTCCAGATTGGAGGATGTATGTTTCACATGCATTGCATTATAGGAGGTGTGAGTATAGTCATTTTCATCACTGTAGTCAGGACCAAGTAACGTCCGGGCCCAAGTTCCCATGTCATAGGGAGGAAGGGTTCCTCCAAATTCAGAGGGCAAAAATTCAGGATGTATTAGCTGGTGAAGGCTGTTTAAATTGTTTCCATGCAGGAAAATCTGTAAAGAAAAAAATTATTAGCAATAAAAAATCCAAAACATATGACCGAGTATTTACTCTAATACACAATTTAGCAATGACAAATTGGATGCACTGCTGGTGATCATGGTGTTTAAAGAGGCATGCATTTTGCGACTGTAGCTTAGCCTTCATAAAATATTAATTTATTGCTCAGAAAAGGGGCTAAGTCATGAAAAATGAAGTTTATGAACGGATTATTATTTGGCCATGGGCCAAATTTACACATGCAGTCATCTCCTAATTATCCCTGCTGATGAAAGGAGCGGTGACGCAGACCATCCGAAACCCGAGCCACGCCTGCATCCCAGACTGCTGCATTCCCCAACCTGTGTGCTCTGCCCCCGTTATCCCACCCTTCTCAGGCCTGGACCAAGTTGTGGCTTCTTCCCAAATCTGTCCTCGTGATACCTGCCCATTCTGGTTCTCCCCACCTGCCCTCCATTAACTCTTCAGTATCTGCTGATGCTTGAGTCTTGCTTCCCCATAGGGAGAGAATATCTAGGGAAAGGGATGGTGTCTTCTCACTTTTTAAAAACTCTCCTTAGCACCCCGGGGTGATGTGGTGCTTGGTAGAAGCTCAATCCATCCTTATTCAGTGCAGTTGGAAACCATGGCCTGAGAATTTATTGAGGGATATTTTTGCAGCAATTTTCCATTTCTTTGTCTTGACTGGGGACTAACGCCCAAACAAGTCTGCATCTTCTGAGCATATAATAAATATCGATGGAAACTGGTTAAATAGGGGAGAAACCTCTCCTCCCATTGAAGTTATTTTCAGACAAATCCACAAAGTGGATATGCCACAAGTAGATAATCAGCATTGGCTGACTGCAATTTAGAAATTGGCTCTGAAAGGTGATTTAAAGTGCATTTGGGTAATGACATCAGTTCCCACACTTCTTTATGTTTCAGGCATGAAGTAATTATGTGTAACACATAAGCTGCACCCAAATAGAGGACCATCAATTACACACACATGCATGCACACATGTGCACACACATACCACAGTCAAGCATGATGACATGCAAATGTGATTTTAAAAATACTTAAATACAGGCCCTTATACTAAACACTTGCCACCTTGTTCTATTGTATTGATTTTAACTTATGATGTAATGACATCATTTAAAGATAAAGGGAACAAGAAGAGCTGATTCTTCAGAAGACTGCTGGAGTACTACAGAAAACAATATACATTTTCTGACATTAGAGTTGGGTATGACTGAATTTTAATAAGAATTATATCTTTTGAGGAAACTCACTTTTTCTAGCTTTTACAAAACTTCTCAGAGGGTGCTGTCATATTTGAACACGCTGGAGCTAAACACCAACCCTGGTGTTTATAGAAAACATTTGTACCCACCCAACCAACACATCTAGTTGTTGAAGGACAAAGAGTGCTGTTGAGGCTGGCACTCCCTTCAGGGAGGGGGTCTGGTGGGGGGGAGGAACACAGAAGCAGGAGGCTGGACCCTCCACCTGTCAGATTCTGTCCTGCACGCAGAGCTCCAGAAACCCCCTCCTATGGCAGCAAGTGTCCCTTGTGGGAGGAATTCCCCCTGGCTCTGTTCCGAGTAGAATAATAAGCCACTGGAAAGCCTGAAGCCATATTGAGAACAGTCTAGAACATTTCTGTCCTTAGCACTATCCTGAGCCCTAGATGAATTGCAAAATGTCCCAGAATGTCTCTGCCCTCTAACGCTGGTGAGTTCTAATTCCTAGTTCCATATCTTACTGCAATGTTCCCTAGGACTGGAAGCACGTGAGGTCTAGGAGTTAGGAACCTTGCATGGCATGTGTGTGTGTGTGTAAGGGGGGTCCCTGACATCATCAGTCCCTCCTGGATACTTGGAGCTCATCCCTAGTGTCAGATCCCCTGGGTGTCAGGGCATATGTAAGGTGCTGTAAGAATGACCCTGGCCACGAGGTAGTTGAAATCAGAAAGCCTAAAAGACAAGACTGGGGCATTATTCATGGTTGCCAAGATATGGATGCAACACAAGTGCCCAGCAACAGATGAATGGATAAAGAAAACGTGTGATATACACACAATGGAGTACTATTCATCCTTAAAGAAAAATGAAATTCTATCATTTTTGACAACATGGATGAACCTGGAGAACATTGTGCTAAGCAAAATAAGCCAAATACAGAAAAACAAATAGTGTGTAATCCCACTTATATGTGTAATCTAAGTAAGTTGAACTCATAGAAGTAGAGAGAAAAAGGGTGGTTGCCGGGGGCTGGGGAGAGGGGAAAATGGAGAGATGTTGGTTAAAGGGTACAAAGTTTTGGTTATGTGGGATGGATAAATGCTGGAGATCATGGTGACTATAGTTACTAATAATTACAGTTACAGTTAATAATATTGTACTGTTTACTTGAAATTTGCCGAGAATAGATCCTAAGTGTGCTTACCATATGCACACACGAATCATAACTGTGTGAAGTGTTGGATGTGTTAATTAGCCTGATTGTGGTAATCATCTCACGATGCATATGTATATAAAATATTACATTGTATACCTTAAGTACATACAATTTTTATTTGTCAAGTATATCTCAGTAATGTTGGGGAAAAAAAGAAAAGGGAACTAAATGATAAAAAGAAATCAAAGTCACTAAGTCTCTACTACATGAATGGCATCATGCTACATGCTTTCGCATGCTGTCTCATTAAATTACCCCAACAACTCTGTGATGTGGGTGTCAGTTTCCTCATTTTATAAATGAGGACATTGACATTCAGAGTGGTTAAGGAATGGTCAGTTACTCAGTTAGTTAGAATGCCATGAAAAATTCCGACTCTGATGGATGGAAGAGGCTGGCTTCTCAAATGCTATCAAATGATCTAATGAAGATTTGAAAAGCCTTCTTCATAAGGGCATTATTATTTCCAGTGAAGAATGCTTTCCTAGCCTTATAGGTGATGGAACTAGTGGTTATTCCCCAAAAGCCATGGGAGAGAAAAAAATCATAAACATTCTTTATAGCAATAATACACTTGCAAGACAAAATGCTAGCTATTAAAATATTCCATGAACAGGAGGCAGCTGGACCCAGTATTTCCCATAAGCATTTACAGTAAAATGGGCATCTGGTATTTGCATGCCTTCAAAGTTTCCTTCAGTTTGTCACTGGGACTCTGCAAATAACCCAGTTCCACTGAATTATTGATTAAATCCAGGTCATTTGCAAACTCCAGCTGAGGCTCAAATGCTCAGGGGCTGCAGGAAAACCACAATGAAAGATAAGGGGACAGAGAGAGAGAGAAAGAGAGATGGAGGAGAGCACCATAATTGTCCCAGGCATTCCCCATTTGGAATTTACATGATGAGTTTGTTTTCATTACCCGTTTCCTGGTCTTATCTTTAAGGAATGGCTTGATAAGCGTGTACAGGGCATGAATGTACCAGGGCTGGTTGACAAAGTGGACTCCTCCAAAGCGAGCAGGAAAGCTGTCCTGGGGTGGAAAGAGAGAAATGCATAGCAATTAGTAAGCACTGCAGATTAGGCTGGACCAGCAGGAGCAAAACCTCAAAGAACAACTTGTTTCTTCTGGCTGGTGGAAACTCTAGCTTCACGGTGGGGAAAGGAAAAAAACCTACCTCCAAGCTGTTAAGGTTTCGGTATTTCCTTTGCCTCCCTTTGACGCCACAGCTTAAAAATTGTGCACAGGTGCCAGGTCTGTCTTTTCCAAGTCACAACTGTGTGACTTCCTACATGGCACAGAAGCGTGTGTAGCAGGACAGTGGGGGGGTCTGAATTCTTCCTTGCATTGGGTAACCAAGGCTGCACTCCCACAGGCCCTGAGCACAAGATCTCTCTCTAC